GTAGGAGTCCTGGTGTGGCGCTGTGGGTTAATGCTCCAGACTGCAAAGTCATTTGAACTGCAAGGTCGGAAGTTCAAGCTCACCAGATGCTCCTTGGAAACCCTATTCAGGGTTGCTATGGGTCAGAACCGACTTGACGGCACCTAACAACAACAAGAGAAAGTGGCTTTCCTGGTTATACTTTTGGTAAAAAGCAGTGCAATTCTTTCGCGGGCCCACTTGACTCTGAAGGCCACCTAGCTCAAGGCTAGGGCCTGGGAATCCCCTTCTTCTGCAAGAATTTACTGATGGTCCTACTAGATGCTTGATCTAGATGCTGGGACAGAGTCATGGAAGAGGTAGACAGAAACCAAATCATGCCCAAAACAGATTTAAGTGGCCACTGTGACCATGGCTGGGAAGAAGCAGGACCTCCCTTGACATCCCCTGTTCTGTCAAAACAGGCACCCCTCCAGGGAGGAGATGAGTTAGCTTCGTCTGAAGGTTGGGTTGGATTTAACTAGGATGGCATTGGGGCCTGACCCATAAAAGCCACTCTGCAAATGGCAGCTTCCTCAGGGTCAAGCCAGCTGGTCTGGCCCTTCTGGGTTCTTCCTGTGTTGAGATGCCAATTTTCTCACTCCCGTCCCCAGCCCCAAGAAAAAGCTTTTAGTCAACTTCCCTGGAGTGGTGGCCCACGAAGATATCTCCAGACCCCTAGAAGAAGGGCCCAGGAAGAGTCGGCTCAACTAGGGTGGGAGCAGTGGTTCAGGGCATCTATACCCAGGACAGGGTGAGGAACTGCTGGTTCACCTGGATCCTCCCTGCCGTCTCCTTCCTGTGCCCTGTGAGCATCAGCCCATTTTCCTGGTGACAAAACTGAGGTCTACACTGAGGAAGTCACTTCCTCCATCTGGACTTGGCCAAGACAGCTTCAGGATGGGGCTGCTCAAGGCATATCAAGTCCCAGTTCCTCCTGGAAGCCCAAGAGGGGGCTTAGGGAAGCCATGCAACTGCCTTCTCTTTGTCACACTGTTGCTTTCTGCCCACACTCACACAAGGAGCGACGTCTGCCTGGGCCCCTTGCCCAGCTACCCCCACAGAATGGATCACGTGGTCTCAGTTCTATATCCAGCCAGCCCTTAGCAAACCCTGAGTGCCTTCCAGAAGCCTCAGCCTGGCCGGCATCTTCCCCAGTTATTTATTTTTTTAATTAATTTTTTGGTAATAGGAAAAAGTCATTCTTTGCACAGAACAGACGGTATTTTCTTTGTTCCCCACAGAGCTCGCGCCTTTCGTGGCATCGGGCCTGAGAGTGAAGCCAAGTTCTCTGCTTGTTCTGGTGCTGTGTGAAGTTAGAAGCAGCTGGGGAAACCGAGTTTGCACCTCAGTTTCCCCAGCTCTGGTGAGCAGTCTCTTCTGTGCCACGTTAGGCTGGAATTGTTGGGGGAAGTAGCCCTTAAGGAGCACTTACATCTAGCTACCACTGATGTAAACAGGTAACATGGTTCCGATCATGGGAAAGGAGTGTGTGTGTGTGTGTGTGTGTGTGTGTGTGTGTGTGTGTGTGTGACCAAAAGGTCCTTTCCAAGCCAAGGATAATCAGAGAGACTTCAGGAGATGGGGGCAGAGGAGCTGAATCAGAAAGGACAAGGCAGAATGATGCGGCAGGAGCATCTTCCTGGTGGAGGGAACACCTTGGGCAAAGGTATTCTGATCTTGGTCTGGGAATGTCTCCAAGAAGCAACAAGTATCAGAAGTCACCTAACCGTCTTAGACGGTAGCTGGCAGCTTGGAAGTGTGATTCTTCTTGGGGGAAAGGAAATGAAAGAACAGGAAAACATGGAAAGGAGATGTCAGCGCTCCACGACCTCAGGAGATAAAAACCAGAACCTCTGAGGTTATTGAAAAACTCAAGGGTTAGGTTTGGAGTTTCAGGGAACCCAGGTCTTTGCTGTGTCCCAGTGCCTCTGGCCCACAGATCAGATGTCCCTTTACAAGACTGACTAGTGGGCTCACTGGCAGGCTGGAGCCAGCCAATTTTAGATTATCCAATAAAAAAAGATAAGCACAGGCTTACTTGTGCTTACTTACTAATATGTAGTGAACAGTTTCACATTTTTCCACCACATCAAAGATTCTACTTCTAGGTCTGGCTGGCAGCTGCCTCTCTTCCAACCCACGGCACTTCCGACAGAATCAAAGCCTCTTACCAAATCGACAATCCTTGACAGGGACGGAATAGCCAGTAAGCATGGGGAGCAATGTGGAACTGTTCACTGCAAATTAGTAAATAAACACAATCAGCCCATGCTTACCTTGATTATTAAGTAAACTACCCCTGGAGCCAGCTCAGTCATCCCCAAAGGACCTGCTTCTGAGCAGTTGCAGGTAGGGGTAGGTTCCCTAGGCCTCGACAGTGACAGTTCCTCCAACAACAATATGCATCCTAATCCCCAGTTTATTGGATTATCTTTTGGGAAGGCAGAGGCAAACACAGGCTAGCAGCTCAGTGGGGTCAGAGTTGGGAGGAAGGCAGGCAAGCAGGACCCTGAACAGGTAGGTGCCTCTGACCAGTCTCATTAAGTGCCTAATGTTGGCTTTTCTCTCCTTGTTCACCTTCTACTCCCATTTCTGTCCAGGCAACACCTAGGGATCCCCAAACCGAGAAACTGCCCCTGCCTCAGGACGTGACCCATCACTAGCCTGAGGTCATGAACGTAGGCCAGAGGACAGGCGCAGCAGCAGTGACTTGGAGGGTCAGGTTAAGCTCCTGACTCCTCCATCTCTGTTCATCAGTCTCTGTCTCTTGAGTCTTTCATGCTGGATGTCTGTCCCAATCTGTCTCTCCGTCCCACCCCCGCCCCGCCCCACTCTCTGCCGCTCGCCCCTTCTCTATTCTTCCTGGCCCCTAGCCCTGGCCCAGGATCGCGCTGCTGCCGTCAGGGACGCTGAGGGGCGCTC